GAGCCGGGGGAGGCAGACCCCAGCGGGGGCCCCGGTTTCCTGGAGATGGTGTGACCACATCAGGCCTCTACTCGGCCTTCGCAGGCGGTGGGTGGGGAGTGGGGTGGGGGATCCAAGCAGTTCTCTTGAGGACCCGTGTTCGCTTGCCCGCCAGGTCTGACCTGGAGAGCCGTCCTGGTGGCACCTGACCTGCCCGGCAGGAGGCCCACACGCCCCCGCTGTGGGCCGAGGTGCCCCACGCGCTGGCCCCTGGAAGCCTGTGCTCCCCAAAGACAGCTCTGCTGGGCCCTGCTTTTCCACGAAGCCTGGCTTTCTGCAGCCTTTGAATTCTTTTCCTTTCAGCCCCTGTGGACTCCGTGTCCCGGTTAAGATAATATCGTAAAGAATGTGTGAAAACCATCGACTGACTGGCTCCCCAGAACTACCGCCTCCAGCTAGGCCTCTGCGGAGCCATTGGCCCTGTCTCCAGAGAGTCCTGGCTTCCGGACACCAGTGGGGGGAAAGCATGGCCCTAGAAAACTGGATGGTGACCCGCCTCTGGTCTTGGGTGTCAGCAGCTGTGCTTTGTCCCTGCACTCAGCGATGTCTCTCTGTCAGGAGTCCCGGGGGGCCCAGGCGGGTGGGCCACCTCCAGCTGCATTTGGTGTGGCAGATGGAAGGGAAGCAGACAAGCTACCCATGTCCCCGCATCCCTGGGATAGCCACCAGGCCAGCTCTAGCTGGCTGGACTGAAGGATTTGAGTCCCAGGTCAGCAGCGGCCGCCGTGGGGACCCGGGTGGAGCCTGGGAGGGCTGAGGGGGAGTAAGGAGCCCGGGCCTCGCCGCCCTCCCCTCAGGCCAGGCCCCGAGCCCCAAAGCACTGCATGACAGGACCAAACAGCCACACTTCACAGTGACACATCCACCTTCTCTGTCTTCCCGCCTGTCCTGCCCCCAGCTGGCCTGTCCAGCTAAAATACGGGAAAGGGGCTGTCCCACTACGTGAGTGAGGACACAGAGATAGCAGAGAATATCCCCGTTACAGGATGAATTGTGTCCCCCAGAACTCATATGTTGAAGTTCCAACCCCCAGCCCTTCAGCACGTGGCTGTATTTGGAGACAGGATCTTTAAAGAGGTGACCAAGGTAACATGAGGTCACATGGGTGGGCCCTAGTCCAACACAACTGGTGTCCTCATGAGGAGAGGAGATCAGGACACAGACACATGCGGAGGGACACCCTGTGAGGACACAGGGAGAGAGAGACCACAGGAAAACCCGAGCCTGCCGACACCTTGATCTCAGACTTCCAGAACTGTGAGGAAACAAATTTCTGTTGTTTAAGCCGCCCCATCTCTGGCACTTTGTCATGGCAGCCACGGGACATGAACACAGTCCCCACAGGGATCTGAACACCATGAGACAAAAGCGTCGTCCAGAAACAAGAATGTAGGTCCCTCAGGTAGGGCTCTGGGGGGTCGAGCAGCAGCCGGGCACGCCCCCGAGAGGAGAGGTGGCCGCCGCTGGCACCAAGCGAGGGGGGACAGAGCCGCAGTCACGGGAGCTCGGCGTCCACAGCCCTCGCAGAGCAGGGGCTTGGCTGTAGGACACCGCAGTCGCCCAACGGCCCCCACAGACAGTGTGACCCGTGTGTCCGAGGAAATGATGACAGACGGGGCTGGGAAGTGAGGAGAAACCTGTGGAGCGTTAGAACAGGGGACGTCCTCACACAGCCCGAGCGGAGGCCTGGGCGGGGGCAGGCTGAGGAGAGGCTGTGCAGGGGGCCACCTTGCCCGGCCGGCCACGTCCTGCCCTCCCTCCTGGCGCCTTTCTTTGCAGAGCCCGCTCCGGCCAGATGAGCGCAGGCCGGGGAATGAATGTCCCCTGAGAGCAGCCCCTGCCAGAGGCTGACGGACTTGGCGTATAAATACCTCAGCTCACCCTCCCCTCAGCGTGGGCCACGCGGGGTTCTGGAGTCCCCCTGGGGTCCCCCTGGAGTCCCCGGGACATTGAGCACCAGCCGCCCGCAGTGGAGCCAGTGGACCACCCCGCTTTGCGGCCCCTCTTCCTGCTCACTCTTCACTCCCTGCCCGTGTTTAGTCCGAATAAACCAGTGCACTCAACTCCAGGCTCAGGAGTTTAAGGAAATGACACAGATGCCACCCAGCCCTGGGGGTGGAGAGTCAGGAACAAGAAGCCCGGAGCTGGCCTCTCTGGCCTGGTTCTGTGCCTGGGAAGGAGAGCGAGGCTTCCGGTACCATGCAATGGGGGGATTCACAATTGCTGAAGTGCCACAAAGACCTGCTTCCGAACCCGTGCTTCCCTTGGACGGTTCTGGCATTGGAGGGGTGCGATTTCCCAGCTTAATGCTCTGGGGCAGGCTGAGGCTCAGGCCCAGCGGTGGTTTCGAAAACCAGGAGTGAGTTCTGGAGACTAATTCCCACCCCCAGGCTTGGGCAAGAGCCCAGCTAAGAACCCACCACCCCCTGAGCCTGTCCTGGTGGCCATTCCCTCTCCCAGCGGGGGCAGGCGCACCCCAAGGCCATACCCGCCCGCTGGACTGGCTGGGGTCCCTCTTGTCCCCGTGGTAGGTTCTCTGCCACAGCTAAGGTCAGAGTCACAGAGCAGTAGCAACCACGGTCCATCTTGCTATTTTCTCTTTTCTTTGATATACAAATCCCAGCCTGTTTGGCAAGGAAAGCTGTGCTCTAATTCCCAAACACTCCCGCCTTTCCGTGCGACTCTCGGGAGCCCTGCGTGCTCCCCTTCCACATTCCCTCGGACGGCTGCAGTCTCCAGGAATGACAAACTTCCAGGGAGATAAAGTGGATTTATCGGATAATAGCAAGAGGCCTCTCAAACCAAATGCCCTGCAGGCCTGGAAAGCTGGCTGAGCTCGGGAGATCAGGGCTCCCGACCGAACCGCGGCCGGCCCGCGTGTCCGGTGCCAGACCTGCCGTGTGCTGGAAACTGCTGGCGGCCTGGGAGTCAAACGGCCTGGGCTCCGGTCCTGCCCACCTCACCTGCCGCCCTGCGCAGGTGGCCTCGGAGTCTCACCTTGCTCACCCGCGAAATGGACACAAGAGCCCCCAGCTCCCCGAGCTGCCTGTCACAGGCCAGAATCAATAGGTGAACAGCATCCGTCCACGTCAGGGGCAGAGGAGCCACCCGATCAGCATCACCCGATTAGCATCACGTGGCCTTGGGTACCTTCCCAAAACGCAAATTCTATTCCTTCTCCTGAGGGGAGAAAAAAAAAATCCCTGCTCCCTCGGTTAGCCGGGCAGTGTGAGATCAAAGTAATGGTATTCAGAACAAAGACTTCTAATTCCGTAAGTTTTCTTTCTCCGTGCTTAGAGGCCTAATTTCCTGCCTTTCAGCCCACTTTGAAGAACAACTGTTCCCTCTTGTAATTTAGGGGTTTGCTTTAAACTCCCTTGCTGCATTAGAAGCATCCCAACGTGCCTCTGCCTCTGTGGATGGGGGCTCCAGAACCCCCAGGCTGGGGCTCTGTGTCAGAGCAGTCGGCCTGCCCCTGCACCCCGACGTCGGCAGGGGAGCCTGTGGAGGTGTGAGCCTCACCTTTGCTCTCCGAGTCCCACTGTCCTCCCTTCCAGACTGTTCTCAAAGCACATTCCTCTTCCGCCTCCCAGCTGCTCTTGCTACTTCAGAGCACACCCCCCTCCGCTCCCCTCCTCACAGCTGCCACTCCAGTCCCCCAGTGCCTAATCCCAGACACATCCTACCAGGTTTGCACAGGAAACATTGCTAGCTCCCGTGTAGTGACATCTAAGCATAAGCAGTTGCTTTTTACCAAGCTTGGTCTCAAGAATGACAGGAATGTTTATATGAGACCATGATTTGGTCATTTTTTAAAAAAAGAAGAAATAAAGTGTTGTTCATTCACACTTCCAAGTCTCTGTCTCGCACAAGCAAGCAAGGAAGAAGCCATCTGCATCTGCCCAGCCACAAGTCCTGGTTGTCACGAGTCTCTGCCATAGAGACTTGAAGAGAGGAGGGTCACAGCAACACCCTAGTGACAGTCATGTTCACAGGGTCCCAGTCCACACTGAACGGCCAGGCATGCAACACACAACATGGCGGCTGATCGAGCAGCCTATAGACCTGCTGTCCACCTTCAACTCAGCACCAGCAACTTATCCTTCAGCATCCCTTGGCTAACACAAAGCAAAGCAAGAACAGAGGACATGCCATCTGGACCACACTGCAGATGACCTGGTTCCTCTATCTGCACCCCATTAAAAAGCACCCATGGATCGGCCATTGGCATGAGGATGGGGTATTGACAAGAAGATTGGGTATTTCACTCTATCCAAGTTATTTTCTGCCTTAATTTGGATTTTAAAAGAAAAATGTCACTTCTTTAAACACTTTAGTGACTAGAGCACATCCCCTAAACCCAGATGTTCCCAAACTGCCTCCATCAGCAAATCGAATCAGTGTTCGTCTACTCTTTCCATGCTGACTCCTCACATCATGGAACGGTGGCCTCCCCTGAGCCTCCCCAGCTCTGCCACCTCCCCTCTGTGTGACTGTGAGCAAGTGGCTTACCCTCTCTGGACCTCAGCATCCTCAATGGTAAAACGAGGATCATGGCCATAAGAATCTCCCTCGCTGGGTTGCTAATTTATTTAATCCCTTAAACCAGTGTCCGGCAATAGTAAGGACCCCATTACGGATCAGTTCTCCTATTGTTGCTGTTATTTACAACTGGTGTCCAGACGTCACAGCAAAGTTTAGGTTCCAAATGCACAATCTAGAACCCAGGTGACATCTGAACCATCCCACACCTGCCAGAGGTTCCGTGAAAAGGTGCGCATGGATGCTTGAGCACGACCACAGGTAGCTGTACTTAAGCAAGGGGTGGAGAAGTGATGCTTGAGGTTTAGGGTTCACGTGTATGCCATGGACGGTCATTGCACCAAACCAAAGGGACAATTCCCCCCGACCCCTGCCCCGAGGAGCTACCTCCCACGGCTGGGGGTGGGCGTGCTACTCACGGAGGTGGTGTGCGTAGCGGAGGTGGAACACGTCGCAGCCGTGCACGTGGTGGTACAGGGTCTTCTCGATCAAGTCCTGTGGCTCGTACCCCGTCAGCTCGGTCACCCTGGGGGAGGACGGCGGCTCGGTGAGCTGCTGCTCTGCAGGTCGCCTTTCCTTTAAACTAATATTGGTTTTGCCAACTAATCAAGTGCTAAAAGGCTCAGGGGGGCCATGTTGATTTTGGAAACTGAGAATGATCTTTTTTACAAGAAGAAAGACTTTGAACTCTAGCCCCAGTGCAGGACGTAGCACTCTTCATGGGCAGGAATGTTCTTCTGAGACCACTGGCTAGGAGAATGTTTGGGATGGCTTAAAATTGCAGCCTTTTCCAAGGTTAAGCTTATCTGAGAATATTTCAAGTGAACTTTGACACCGACACAGGAAGAAAGCCGCCACGGTGAGAAGGAGCCCACTCTGGGGGCCTCTGGGGGAGAATCCTGTGTGAACCTCTTTTTAAATGGTGGTAAAACATACATAACATAAAACGGACCATTTAACCATTTTTAACCGTACAACTAAGTGGCACTGAGCACACTCACACTGTTGTGTAACCATCACCACTGTCCCTTTCCAGAGGTTTCCAGAGGTTTTCCATCAGCCCAAACAAACTCTGTCCCTATTAAACACTAACTGCCCCCCCCCCCCCGCCAGCCCCTGGTAACGTCTATTCTACTTTCCGCCTCTGTGCATTTGTATCTTCTGGATGTTTCGTGTGAGTCGAATGATGCGATATGTGGCCTTTAGAGTCTGGTGTCACTGAGCATGATGTTTTTAAGGTTCATCCATGTCCCATGTGTCAGTATTTCTTAGGGCAGAATAATATTCTAACTGATGCAGATACACATTTCGTTTATCCGTCCCTCCGTTGATGGACACTCGTGTGCACATCTTGGCTGTTGCGTGTGTGAGCGTGGACACCGTTGACCCACACAGGTGGTCCCAGGATGCTGTGGTTGGCTGCTTCCTGCTAATAGGAATTATGGAATAACCGAAGGTATTTAAGCCTCCTATCAGTGGGGCATTGTTGCGGACCCCCCAGAAAATAGTCTAACGACCTGAGATACTGTGACTGCCAGGAAAGCCTTAAGCTCTCTGGAGAAATGGAAGCTTTTTCCCAGTGCTTTTATGACATGACCCTCTGTATTCTCATCAAGCCCAGGCATATTAATTTTCCACTTCAGCTCTTTGAAGAAAAGTGGCTCTCAGCGTCCAAGACCACATCGTCACTCACATCGGGATTGCTCCGACCGTAGGTGAAAATTGCATGTGGCAATTCTGGTCTGGTTTCCCAGGCTTTGGGCAACTGAGCTGGGAACCGTGCCCTGGGAGGAGGTGGCCCTGAACATCTTGGTGACAGATATTCAAGAACAGATGAAAGAGAGGGACAAGAAGGGCTTCCAGAGGAGGCACGCACGGTGCGGAGTCAGTCCTGGGGTCGCCGTGAGCTGGGGGACCTGAGGAAGGCTGGGGTTGGGGGCCCTGCTTGCCGGGGTAGGAAACGCTGGCTGTAAGTTAAACCGGGAAACCTGACCTCACTTTCGTTCTTTAACCCGCTCCCCTTTCTGTTGAGTTCTGCTCGGCTTTGGGTCGTAAATCTCAGCGTGCCTCGTGTTTCCCTGGAGTCGCTGGCTATTTGGGGTGCACATTTCCGTGGTGGTCCTTTAGGGTGGGAAGGAGACAGGGGAGCAGGGGGACCCCGCACAGTCCAGGGCCATTCAGGGCTCAAGGGACTTGTCTAAGGGCCACCTAGAACTTCCAGCCCCATTGGAGTCTAACTCTGTGTGGCAGGAAAATTGAGCCATCTGGCTTCCCCCCAAAATAAAAACAGGCATCTCTATGGGGTGGGAATGACAGAGGCTTCCCAGACCCTTTGGATACAAAGCTACAGAACAACGGCCCCAAACGTGTAAATGAATCAGAAACACATGTATTAAGTTTCTCATCAAAGTACACACCGGCTTTAAAAATTAAAGGGAAATCGAAAGGTTTGGCAGGATGCCCTCCCGTTTTTCCCAAACCTCTAGTGTCTGAAGACCTGTCAGAGGGATCTGCCAAACCCCAAACACGGCTGTGTTCACCCATCCTTAGCAAAAGCATCAGCTACAGTTTCAAAGTGAAATACCACAAAACCCCTATGAACCAAATTTCAGGTTATGCCGAGTTCAGTTGTGTCTGGGGCTGCGCTGCGTGGGGTGCCGGCCAGCCCACCACCCTCGCTCCTGCGACTCAGGACTGCTGGGCCTCGGGCCAAGCCCTTGCCTGGCTCCTGGCGTTTGGACACGGCGGTGACATCTCCACCCTGCCTGCCACTCGCCGTCCTCCCAGTGCTGCACCGGCCTAGGGCCCGGCCCCCTGGTTGAAGGGGGACTGTCCTGTCTGAGCTATGACAGCCCGACCGACCCTAGTGACTGGGAGGGATTCTTCCAGCACTCTTCTGACCTGGTAAGCCTCTCCCAGGTGACTGGAGTTCAGAAAAGGCCTCCAGACATTGCTAGAAGCTTCCTGATACTTAGCAGGGACAACTGCAGGGTTCTGGGGGAGAGAGGAAGTCTCCTTCAAGATCGCCACCCTTCTTTTCTACTCACTTCAGGGGTGCAGCCCCCACCCCCTGAGGCCCAGGAGCTGGTCTGAGGCCCCTCGGGCAGCAGTCTGGCTTCCAAGGAACCTCTCTACACGCTTTGCAGCATTTCAAAGCTGAGCGGATTGAATACCTTGAAAAGACCTGAGTCTCTCCTCTGGGGAGACCCTCTTCTTTCCTCTTCCAGAAAATTTATGGGGTCTCAGGGGTTTTCTCAGAGAAAAACTAGGAGATAAGAAACCAGTTGGATCTTCCCAGATGTCTTCAATCACGACCTTAGCCGATTTTCTTCCAGCCTCCTCTCAGAAGCAGCATCTGAGTCAGGAAGGACGGACGGCCCCTGTCCCCGCATACCCGGCCTGGCCTGGTGTTGCAGCAGCTGGCTCAGCCTCCTGTCCCCGCAGGTCCCGCCCTCTGCATGGCAGGGAAGCAGCGTTTGTCCGCATTTGGCCGTCGCAAAGGTGCTGGCAGCTTTCCCCAAAGAGTTATGTCTACTCTTGCTTGGTGTTTTGGGAAAGATGACGGTGACCCCGTAATCCCACTCTCGTCATTTCGCAGCCTTTGCGTGGCTCTGAGGTGCATTAACAATGAGCTAGACCAATTCATACCTTCACCTCTCACCTCTCACCAGGTGGATTTGTTTTTTTCTCAATAAAGCATCATAAGTGGTTACAACGACGAATTTTATGGGATATGTATTTTACCACAACAAAGAAAAAGAAAAAAGGAAAATATTGGTAGATCTTGGCTTCAGGACATACAGAAAACAAAACGCATGTATCTTTTGCCCTGGAAATCTCAGCGCGCAGCCGGAGCCAGGAGTGGGGTCTCTGACCGCTCATTCCGCCTGTACAGCCAAGGAGGCCGGCCGGCCAACGGAGCGGCGGCGCAGGTGAAAGAGGCTGCTTCCACTGCGGGTGATGCCCCCATCTGTTACGTGACTTCGTCTCGCTTTGCAGCCCGGTGGGCAGCGAGTGGGTGGCAGCTCTGCTCCTCTACAGATGGGAACATGGGAGAGGCCCGGCTCACGTGCGGCCTCCAGACTTGGGAGGGCTTTGCTCATCCCACGATGTAAACGTGTACCGAAACACCACACTGTGACTCACAAATATACGCAGTTATTTGCCAATAAAAATAAAATAAAATTAAAAAAAAAAAAACTTGTCAGGAGCGCAGTCTGCCCCGGGGGGTGGGGGGGACCCAAGGCTCCTCCCATGCGGGCCTCAAGAGCAGGGTCTGCCCCGACGCCTCTGTCCCAGCCTAGACGCAGACAGGCCCCGGCTGAGCTGCGGTCAGAGTGTCCCCCAGAGAAGGTGACCTCTCTGCTCCCAGCCTCAGCCCTGCGGTGGCTGTCACAGCTCCGATGGCAACACACTAGCCCGAGTGGGAAGGCCCCTCCGCACACACACACCGCTCAGCGTGGAAACTGTTGGCTCTGAAGTCCTACCAACTTGGCAGAGACAGGAGGCAGAATTCTCACATCACAGGCCTTCAAAAAAGGCTAACTTGTGCCCACAACACATATTTCCGTTTCAAACTCCAGTGAGATGATTCAAACATAAAGACATAAATAAAATAAAACAAGTCCCTGAGTCCTAAGGCTGACATTAATTCTCTCAGTACTTGGCTTCACTAGATCCTTTCTGATTAACACGCATTCTTAGTACAACTTCCTCCTTGTTACGATCTATCTGGCTTCCTATCTCAGCTCTCAAGGGCCCATTTCCACCGTCATTATCTCCCAGAAGTCCACAGCGGCGGTGGCAGCAGGTGCCGAACTCACCTGGAGTCCAGGAATATGAGCTTCAGGTCGAGGCTGGCCCTGAACATGAACATGTTACTGTGCAGCTTGATCTCCGTGATGGCGCTGGGCGGCAGCGACTGGCCCACGGCCACCAGCCCCACGATCTGGTAGCAGGAGTCGTACAGGGACATGTCCAGCATATACTGCCTGATCTTCAAGTAGCCGCTGCAGTGGATGACCTGGGCGAGAGGAGGGCAGGGTCAGTCTTTGGTTCTTGAAGGTGCTGGAATTCCCCAGCCCAGCCTGTACTCAGCTGTGCGGCCGATGTGCTGATAGACATCCGGTTCATTGCTCAGGAGAAATGAAGAGCTGTGCTTCTTTCTTAGGAAACAGTATCACAATAAAGGATAAGGGTCGTTTTATCCAATTGACTATAAGTAAGTCCACAAATTAGGGCTCTCTGATATGTGACAGATTTATGCATAATTAACTTGGTTATGATTAGATAACACAACAAAGGCATTTTGGAGCATTAGCCATTTGTTCCCTGATGCTCACTGCAGTAACCATGACGCTTACCAGCTTCCCATGGCACTGAATTTGACGTCCGTATCACTGGACATGCTATATCACTCCAGTAAATTAAGAACTCTTCCAGTAAACTTGTTTAAAATCTTCATTTTTAATGTATTTTTATTTATTTACTTATAAGTCAAGATTTTATCCCCCTCCTAACAAACAATAAGCCAGAGTGGCTACATATTAATAGAAGTGCTTCCAATTAATATAGCCCCAAATCACACAGGGGAGATGCACTATGTTCCAGCACCAAACAGCAACATCAACGCAGCCTGAAGCCCCGCTACTGGAAGCATTTACACAAGTTACAGTCAGTAAAATCATCATAAGATCATCATGACAGCAGTGAGGAACAGCTACTATCTTAGCCTTAAAGCTCTTTTGCAAAAACCCTTCCTCCAGGATTCACAGTCTTTAGAGCTGGAACAAATCTCAAAATCTTTCTGGTCTATTCTCCCATTTTACTGACAAGGAAACTGAGGACAAGATAGGTGAGATGTGTTGCTTCAGATTAACAGATGGACAGTTTATACGTAGCAGAAACAAGTGAAGACCCAAGTGCCCCTGAAGAATGTCTACTGGGTGCAGGGGCAGTGCTGGGGGCCCCCCGCCCTGGCCTAAAGAGGCTTAGAGTTGGGGACAACGAATAAGAAATGTAGCCCCCAACTACAAAAACAGAGCCAGGGGAAGATCAAAGGAGAGAGTGGAGGGGGATAAGGGGGAGGCACACCCTAGGATGGGGGGCTGGGGTGGGGCATTCCAGAAAGACAGAACGAAGGCTCCAGTGCTCCCTCTCTCTGACTGCACCCTCGTCCCTCCTTTTCTAAGGGGCAAACGCTCCCAGCAGAAGGTTCCCAGCAGCCTCCAGCTCCAGCGAGATGGTTACAACCTCCGTCCTCCGAGGTGGAAGAGGAAGCAGTGAAACCCCCTGGGAGGAGGGTGAGGGGTCCAGGGAGGGGACAGAGGGTGGAAGGACTGCTCAGCTGGACCTCTCCCAACCTATCCCTCCAGCGGGAGTGGCTGACTCTGCAGAGGCACAATACTGCCAGCCGTCTCCAGTGGGTGACCTACTCCTGGATTCTGGAATTAACCAGAGCACGCTGAGATGTCTGGCAGAGAAACGCAGCCAGGGAGGAGCACAGACCGGGTTCGAAGGTCCCAGCTCGGCTACTCAGCCTGGCCAGCCCTTCTCCCTCCTCTCAGCTCCAGTCCTTGACTGTAAAATGGGACCACTGCTACTCATTTCAAAGGGCTGGTGTGACGCTTTATTAAATGGACTGGGCCAGTTGCAGTGGCTCACACCTGTAATTCTAGCACTCTGGGAGGCCAAGGCGGGAGAAACCTGTTGAGCTCAGGAGTTCGAGACCAGCCTGAGCAAGAGCAAGACCCTGTCTCTACTAAAAATAGAAAAAAATTAGCCGGACATCGTGGCGCATGCCTGTAGTTCCAGCTACTCGGGAGGCTGAGGCAGGAGGATCGCTTGAGCCCAGAACTCTGAGGTTGATGTGAACTAGGATGACACCATGGCACTCTACCCGCCCCCACAAAAAAAAGAAAGAAAGAAGGAAAGCAATGGACGGGATGAGATGCTGCAGAGGGAGCTCTCCTTTGTACCCTGGGATGGGCTCTGTCATTACTGCCATGCACACCTTCAGTGGCAGCAGTGGATTTGGGGGACGTTCCAAGGCTCAGAGCAAATGTCTATGCTGTGAATACTCACTGGGCCCTGACCTGGAATGTGGATTCTCAGTAAGCTCCGGGGGCAGCTGCTGTAGTGGGACTGGCCTGCGTGCTAAGTGCCAAGGTAAAAGCGACCCTAAGCCACTCTGATTCCTGGTCTTACACAATGAATTCCAGTCAGCCTGGAACATCCTTCCAAAATGCCAGCCCCAGCACCTGCCTCCTAAGCGGCCGTGTGCCGCGTTGCTAGAGAGTTCTACAGCGGTGGGAATGACACGTTTGGGTTCCTGAACCTTCCCTTCTGCGGACACTCTTGAGCGTGAAGCAAAGTGTAAAACCCACGTGAAGACCCACCGCCAGCTCCTCCCCCCACTGCAGCTCCTCGTACCTTGTATCCACTGCAGGTCAGGCCCGCATTTCTTTTCGCCAAGACACACTTCATTCGAAGAAAGAATGACCTCTCCATCTCGTACTCTGCAAGCAGGAGCGAGGTTAGGTTGGCAACTGTCCCACCAGTTCCTCCCGACATCATCGATGTATTCCCAGGGCCAGATCCAGCAGCCAGAGGCCTCCTCTGTGTGTGCCCAGCCCCTGACCCAGAAATCTGCCACCCGTGGGCAAGATCTGTGTGGGGAGGGGAGAGACCAGCCCAGTCCTGGTGTGGCCTCCACGACTGCAAAGGAAGGCCCCTGAAACAAGGCCACCCTTGAGTCAAGGGGTGGGCCCCATAGAGTCCCACCTGCCCATGGCCCGTCCCGGAGGCCACAGGGTGGCTTGGCACCAGCAGAACCCATGTTGGCCAGCCCAGAGGTGGGTGTCTGAGCTACCAGGAAGGCCCAGAAGTGTCTGACCTCTCTCAGAGTAGCAGATCCTGAGTGTGACCCGGCTTGGTAAGATCAACGCCTGTGCCCTCATTTCCAGCCCTGGAAGGGCCACCTCCCTGTCTGTCTCTCCAGAGCTCTCCGCTGCCCTCTCAGACTCTTTTCCTTCACAGGCCCCACGCACATCGCTGACCTCCCTAGTGTAGATGCAGATGAGTCTCCTAAGGAAACACCCCTGCGTTAGTAAGGGAGACGAGCACTCTGAGACACAAATAGAGACACCCCTGCACCCCTGTAAGGGAAGGTCACTCCGCTCCAAATAAACAGCCATTTGCTAGAGCTTGATAAATTAATCTTTAAAGAAAGGTTACCACTAGGAATGGAAGCAAGGTCTTCCACCCTCCCTGAGGGCACTGCCTTATGGAAGCTAAGGAATCCCCTCAGAGAGCCACTCCCTGCCCTAGTGGGAGAGGCTGCCATATTTTACCCACAATTCCCCTGCAGCTGGCACCTGTGGGCATAAGGCTTCCCTCTAACATGGCCACCTGTCGGAACCACTTCCAGATAAGCATGGAGGTGTGGAAGCTCAGGTCTAAAAAACATCATCCGGTAATGAACTACCCAGTCTGGGTCTCCAGAGAGCCCATTTCCCCTGCATTTATGGTATAACAACAGGGGACAGTTCGGATGCAGAAAATCAACTCTGCAAATGAGCATCTGAGGAACCTCAAGCCCCACACCCCTCAGCTGGCTGTGGCTTCTCCTTGTGTACGCCTCAGACTTGAAGCCCACAGAAACGGGGGTAGAAGGCCCCCATGACATTCCCAAGGCTCATCTTCCTTCATTTTATAAATGATTTTTTAGAGGCTATGACACAGGAAGAGTAAAAAGAAACCAGGGCTCATGGGAGAAAGCCCACTCCCACCCAATCGGTATACTGAGCAATTTTTAAAAAACAATAACAACACGAAGCTCTAAGGAATTCTCTAAGACTCTTGTTGTCTTTGTCCAGCTTTAAAACCACCCCAAGTGAAAGAATTAGATTCAGGTGTGATGTTCTAGCCTCGTCCTCACTTTGTTAGAAATTACTTCTTCAGAGTCATTATTCACTTTAACGTGTGCAGCCATGTCATCTCCAAGGATGTCACAGACCATGGCTGCAACTAAGCCCCCCAACTCATCTCGGGAACCAACATGCCCTTCTCTCTCCTTGGGAAGGAATAGACTCCAATGACCATTTCTAAAGCCACAGAGCTGTATCTGCAAGGGGTTTGGCTACTGAGTGTGCAATTCGGTATTCTCTCTTCCTAGCCTCAGAATGACCCTTCCCAGAAGAGCAATAAAAAGGCAGCTCATTTTATTCTGTGGCTAGCTACCCCATTCTCATTGCTCTTGAAGTTTCCTCTTTTGCATTTTGTTCCACTGGGGTATTTTGGCCAAGTTGGGTAGTGTGGTCCAAAGCACACACAGCGCCCGTTAGTCAGCAGGCCTGTTGGCCTCAGTGGACTGCTGGCGGGAGTTCAAAGGCCAGGGCCCCCGGAATAAGTTCTTCTGTATCTTCCTAGCACTCAACACAATTGTAATTTAAGGCATCATCAGTGTAATGAGCATGGCACAAAACCTACAGATCCCTACTGGAAATAATGTTTTTAAATGCACAAAATACATAAGATCACCAAAAAAAGCGACTATTGGAAAATAGTTATCAAAATATTTAAACACATAGTGATATGGATATAAATGTGCTGCTTTATTACTATGTAAATAACAAAATTAAGTAGCAGGTCTCATAACTCAAAGAATTTTGAAGTAGGCATTAGCATAAGTGATATGTTTAAATATCCACAAAAACTTCAATGTGATATGCAAGTATCTGATTTCTCTTGTTGGCAAAGCCACAGGTAGCAGTGATCCTAAGATGGTTCATTGTCTACAATCATAAGCAAAGGAAATGCTAAATTTCAACTAGAGGAAACACAGATGTAATTTTCCCCATGCAGTTTCTCAGACACCCCTACCCCTGTGAGTTCAATCCTCAGCCTCCACAGTCTAGACCCAACACTGTGGAATTCTGAACCAAGAGCACATTAGGCGGGCAGGCTGGCACCAATTTTGTCTCCTACCCAGCACCAAACACCATCTCTGGCAGGTAACAGAATCGCAATCACTGTTGGTTTAAAAGACAAAGACGTGAATGCCAATCCCCCCTCAGGGGGTGTCGTGTGTTTGCCGAGAGACCTGAGCTGGGCAGCCCTAGTCACGTTCCCTTGAGAATCAAAGCCCTTGGGTCCCATTCCAGAACATCGTCTTGTCTTTATTCTGGTTTCTTTGCTCTGGAGGAGATACCTTGGAGCAGGTGATGGTGCAGAGGCTGGTGGGCAGTGAGGACAGCAGTCATCTCGTCGTGGTCGGAAGGGTGGATGTACTCATAAATACTGTTGCCGGTCAGCTCCACCTGCAGCAGAAGGGAAGGGTCAGAAATGCCACCAGCCTCTCTGGGACTGGCGCAGGGGGAAGGGCAAGGTGTGTCACAGGTATGCACCTTGCCAGGGACAGGACTTTGATCTCTGCTCACAGCCCACACCTTTGCCAAATGCAGAAACAGTTTTCTTCTTCAGCAGAGATCTGAACAGTCTCCCACACTTTCTAAAAGGGCTAGAAAGCTGAGGCTTGAGCTTAGAGCCCAGAGAGTCCTTGGCAGGAAGGACTAGCAAGTGAAGATGGAGAAGATGAGGACGCTAATGGCCTGGGCAACATCCTTCGTACAGGAGGCGGCTTGACACAGGCCCATGCCGGGGGCTCTGTCCTTCCCTCACTTGCTATCTGAGGGGACTGGCCAGCCAGGAGTCCCCTCAGCTCAGGTCCAGCCCACGCTCCCTGCAAGAGCTCTGTCCACACAGAGGCTGACCAGCCAGGAACCAGGGCACACTTGGGGAGGGTGTGAGCTCTGACAAAGGCCTTTTCTTCATCAGCTCTGAGCCCTGCCCCTCAGGCACTGCCAGGCCTCTCTCACGTTGCCAGAAATGTGTCTCTGGCCTTCCTGGGCCATGATGACTGTGCTAATTCTGTGGCTCCCACCCAGGGGTGTGGCCAGGTCTTTGCGTGACCAGCAGGAGGGTTTGGGCCCGCTCCAGATAGCCACACTGTATGGGGATTATTTCCTGGCGTTGCTGCCCCAAGCTTCAGGCACCTACTTCCAGACACAGCCCATGGCGGACGCCATGTCCATGTTGGACCGGACGCTGCTTTGCAGGAATGAGTGGCTCCAGGAAAACATCCTAGTTATGATTTGTACACAGAGGTCCCTGGTGGCCTGATTCCCAACCTTGAGAACCTTTCGAATGTTCTCCAAACATAAGTGCCAGGAAAGGAGATGACACAGAGTCTCAAGACCTGGGCCCCCTCAACCACCTTAAGAGGGGCAGTGACACAGAATGTTCCAGAAACTACCATCATCAGAGCAGCCTTCTGAGCAGTGGTGGGTGGATCCTACAGAGAAGCAGTCCCCAACCTTTTTGGCACCAGAGACCAGTTTCATGAAAGACAATTTTTCTGCGGATGGTGGGGGCAAGGGGAGGGGAAGGTTTGGGGATGATTCAAGCACATTACATTTGTTGTGCAGTCAAACCTCTCTGCTAATGATAATCTGTATTTGCAGCCACTCCCCAGCGCTAGCATCACCGCCTCAGCTCCACCTCAGGTCATCAGGCATTAGATTCTCATAAGGAGCGCACAACCTAGATCCCTCGCATGAACGGTTTACAGTAGGGTTCGTGCTTCTATGAGAATCTAATGTTGCTGCTCATCTGACAGGAGGCGGAGCTCAGGCAGTGATGCGAGCGATGGGGAGCGGCTGTAAATACAGATGAAGCTTCGCTGGCGCTCACCTCCACTCACCTCCTTCTGTGTAGCCCGGTTCTAACAGGCCACGGACCAGATCAGTACGGGTCCTTGGCCAGGGGTTGAGGACCGCAGCTATGGAGCTACAGTCAATAGCACAGGGGGTGGCAGCCAAAGACAGTGAGTCAGCATACCTCAGTGTTTTTCAGGGGAGCCCCAGGGGCAGTGATAGGAATTCTTCCACAATCAGCCAAAGTACGTGAAAAACTGCCTTGGGTGGCAAAGAGACTTGGGTGGGTCCGAAGGTTCCTTCTCAGCCCTGCCCCAAGCAGGGAGGGTAACCTAAGACGGCAAAAGGCGGCTTGTGGAGTGTCTTGTCCCCAGCCACCCCCTTGTTATTTTTAAGTATGTCTCGTTGCAGATTTCACTGGGAGGCTTATTGCTCCCCATCGACATGATCATCTAAAAAGCCGCCCTGACGGTGCCATCTCACACGGCAGGGCAGCCCGGCCAGAGGCTTAATGGAGAAGTTCTCCTGGGAGCCACCATCCAAATTAGCATGTAGGCCGTCAGCTCTCTACTTGGGACCAAGGCTCCTGGAGCAGCGAAGTGATTTACGCCACTCCTCTGAGCCAGCCCTTCCAATTTGTTAAGAGGATGGGTGAGTTGCCTTTTTGTTCAGGATAAATTATGCTCTGGCCTGCTAAGCAATCTTGTCCTAAAACGGCTTTCACAGTTCTTTTTTCTGCATTATTCATGGAATGCTTCTTTCCAATATTATGCAAACAGAGCAAGAGAGAGAATCCTATCACCGAAATCTCCCTAACTCCTGCTTAAAACCCGCCTCCCAAACCTGGCACCGTCCTATGGACCCAAACGGAGACTTGCTTCTGTGAAGAGTTATTACACGATTTCGTTTAAAAAAAAAAAAAAAAAGAGTAAAAACTAAACATTTTTTCTTTCAAGTCATTCCTGTTAATCCTTAAAAAGTTTAAATAAACAGGTACATTTAAGCCAGCCATTTGGGACAGCATCGGGGATTCACCGTGAAGCTCTGTCAAGGTGGGGCGTGATTTAGGCTGACAAACAAGAGAGCTAGCTATTTAAAAAATTTTTTTTATTGATTCACAATTTCAATGGCTTGTTTTAAAGATAAAAAAAAATAACAAAATAGAAAATTTTCGTATTGGCCTCTCATTTCTCCCTTCCCCACATTTTTAGGGGAAAATGATAATTCTGATTTGCTCAAAGTCCTTTTTTAGGAAAAAGTAACTGGTGTCTTTTGAGAGAAACGTCTTCATATACTTGCAGAAAGACTTCCATCTGTGCTTACTAAGGATTAGATTTGCATTTTAATCCCAAAGTAGCTCCTCTGTTTTCAAAGTTCCCACTCTCATCACATGCGTTGAAGACCACGAGTGAGGATGCAGGGATGGAAGGCGTGGCTTTCTGAAGACTCGGGTCCTTTATAAAAAGAATGGGACAACTCTCATGCTGTCTAGGAAGTAAAACAGCCTTCAAATAACGGAAATGTTTTTAAAGAACAAATTTTGGAATGATAAACCAGGGCTGACCTTAACTCAAAATTATGGTTGACATGGTGTTTCCTGTATTTACATATCTGTTCGTGCTTTTGAACGCTGAAAGAAATCCGACTACCTCACTAAAAAAAAAAAAAATTATAGTTGTCGCTATAAAACTCCCCAGGTCTCATACATCAGCCTTATTAAAACAGACCCTCGATGTGATATTTTAATGTTTGTAAAACCCTGCTAACTACAAAATGGATGACTTTCCTACTAAGAGCTTTTTTATGTTTTGCTGAATAGCTTTTCTTCCTGCCAAGAAAACTACGTATGATAAATACAGCACTAAATGGCTATATTCTGTGTGGAAGGGCAGAGTCACTGGCGCTCTGAAAACGCACGTTACTCTGTTTGGGGGGTTTTGCTGAGTATGGTAAATTAAGCGCTTTAAAATAAGGCGGTTTGGGTTTCAGGGTTCAAGTTATGTCAACAAACATAATATGCTGTCTTTTCTCTTCATCTCAAAAGTGAAAGGATTAGGTCTCTTCCCTCCAAACACCACCACTGATATTTTTATGGTTGTTTCTGGCAGCAATCTCGACTATGACATTTTTTCATGTGTCTAAAACAGCTATTTCATACACATCTATATTTATTTGAATATGTATATTAGTTACCTAGATGCTACATAACACATGCAACCTTGGTGAGGAAATTTAATACAAAGATGCTTTAAAATGTATACAGCAGCTACATGGGGCTTTTTTTCCTTCCTCAAATACAAGAAAAATAATTGCATTAACCAAAAAAAAAGATGGAACTAATCATTTAATAAATGTGTGTAGGAAAAGATTACTTCCCCAACTCTATCTCATCCAAATAGATTCAAATTTGCCTCTAAGTTTTATGTGCGTATGCATACACCAAGTGAAACTGTCAGGCCAGAAGCTCGCCTCTGTTTCCCAACACTTGGACTCTGGGCTGAGGAAACAACTTGCATTTCATGGACGTCTCTGTCATTTTTTTAGAGTCACATTTTGACAGCAACGATCACATGTTTACCAGTTTAAAAGCGCAAATAAACTAATAAACTTTGCCATATGAAGTAGATTTTTTATTCTAGCACATTTTAAAGTTTAATAAAACGTTTTAAATGGAGATGGGCTTATAACATATAAAGAATCATTTTTATACCTTCAAATAGATAATTCAGATAGTTACTTAGAGGTTTAGACCAAAAACAAAACAAAAAATACTACTTTGCTGTTAATTTTCACACAATTTTGACAGACCTTGGGGCTTATGTTCCCGATAATCTTTTAACATCGAGTTTAGCGCTGAATTAACATGAAAGATGTCTTTACTCAGTGAGATAATGTCACTGAGAGTAATTGAAAGTTCTCGGAACACAGAAGAGCACATGTAAATATTAGCTATTACTACTATCATTATTCATCAGAAAACCTGTTTAAAAGGTTATTCTGACTACCGGGTAAAATTTTATTAACACTTTTATCCCTCGTGATTTAAAAAACACTCAAGCCTATTTTAATAAAGTTTTTGTGTTTCGTATATTTGCCTGTTTACCAATAATAAAAATCATCTAAAAAGTGCAAGAAATTTAAAAAGAACAGTGGGCTCTTTGACATCTTATCCAATAGTTTGTTTTACTATTTAAGTAAAGAAGACAGAAAAAAATACACATTGTGATTCTGCCTAGATTTCATTCTGTGAAGTTAATCATGAACAGGAGGCAGATTGGAGAGAAAAGTTTGTTGCTGCTTATTTAAACAGTTCACTGTGGAACAACTCCCCAGACACTGGCCAAGGGCTCATGTCGGCATTAAAGTGTTTTTGTAGCTGCAGACTGATGCTAACACAGCCCTGCTGAGAAATCAGAAAAAGTCACTTGGCTCTACACAGTTTGACTTACCTTTTAAAAATCTGTCCCTTCTGCTGGGAATACAGAGACAAAAGGTATCTCTACGACTTTCTTGGAAAATGGTAGTGTACAGCCCCTCTCCTCTTTCAAAATTATGATATGAAATTTTATTGCTACATTATGGTCTAAAGGAAATATAATACTTTTACTTGTGATTCTGCCTAGATTTCCTTCTGTGGAGTTAATCACGAACAGGAGGCATATTTGTCATCTATCCAATATTTTGGTCGTTCTTAATTATTGTGCTCATAATCAATCAATTCTATTTTCCACATAAAAAGAGAAAAATAACAGAGAGAGAAGCAGGATGCTAGACTGAGCAGCCTGATTGAATGAACTGGATTGTCCTGGGTTGTGCACAGCACCTCAGGATGTGCCAGGACATTCCAAAGACCAAGCAGCCCATTAGGGGTCCTATTAAGGTACCTACCAAAGGACTCTACTGGAAGCAACTTTGTTCTAATGAAACTGTGGGTGTGCCTGGCATTTGTGTAGCTCTCTATAGTTTATAAATCACATAAAATACGCATTTTGATCAGTTTCTCCCCATAATCTTGAAAGAGGGATAGAGCAGACATTATATTATTGTTTAAGTTGTGGTTCAAGGAGGTTAAGTACCTGCCCTGTCAGACAATGAAAACTATATAACTGAATGCATTTCCCTTTTTGCTTTGACTGCTAGGGAGCTCAGATCTAAATTTAGTATTTGTTAACAGTGATTTTATCTATTTTAAAAGATTTTTGATCAGGTATTTTAAAAGCATTTGAAATGTTTTGTTGTGTTTGTAACATTATTGTAAAACTATCAAAGGTTTTCTAAATTACAATTGAAAAAGGCAAGTAATCCAATTAAAGTTACTTAGCCACAGGTCAAGTCAGGAGTAGAAAGTAGTCTGGGTACATCTAAAGGGCCCTGAATAATTATTTTAAAAAAGGGCAAGGTAGAAATTTAGAGAATAATAATTATGAAAAATGTAGACATAGTAAATATTCTCAACAGTATTTCCCATTCTACAAGTACACTGATCATGAGTCATACAGGTGCAAGAGCCAAGCCTTAGTAAACTATCTGGGAGACCTAGTTTCTCAAAGGAAGAGAAGAGGAAAAGAAAAGAAACTTCCAAACAATTTAAGTATGCAATTCATTTTAAAGGGCTTTGCATAAGAAATACATAGGCATATAAATCCACTTGGACATGGATTGGAAGAGAAGGTTGTAAACAAATGGCAAATTTAAAAAGAATGTATTGGCAGAAAAATAAAAGGAATACACCAGATGCAGGTTTCCAAGTGTGGTATCTTGTTTTTCAATGAGAAAACTGAAGCCACATTAACTGGCATGTTTTATTGTGGCTTAACTACATTAGGAGACTGGTGCAATGCAGATTACTCTCTGGAGTTTGCTGTATCCGCAATTAATCCCAGTGTGTCTTCAGTTGTGATCAAAAATCATTGATAGTTCACCTTGTAAAGAAACATTTAGTCCCTACAGGTATAAAAAATATGACTTTCATCATCATGGTCCCTGCTTAAGTCAGACACACGAATGGGACTGATCAGTTAGACGCTTCCCATCCGGACACGCCACAGGTCCAGACAGGAGCAAGATCCTCCATCAAACCCTTGGCTTGACAGGGATAGATAGAGCTGAGTCCACCTCTTTTCTCTAAGGGATGAATCCTTTTTTAGGAGATGATTCTACTTTTCCAGAAAAATTGGTAATATTTAAATGCTGTAAAGAACCAAGACCTTGCTGTGCAAAACAGTAGTAAACTGAGTTTTATGAGTTTCTATCACAAGCATATAAAATGCTTTACTGAAACGACCACTGAACTGGAAAAACTCAGGAAAAATGACCCTGAATTCCATGTGAACACTCATAAATCTACCCCTCCCCTTTCTTTCTCCCCACAGCACATTCTGCATGAAATCCATGCTCTACATCAGCTTACCTCTTGCTTCATAGCAATTCATAATACCACATGCGGACCAGCAAGTGTGGACTGAAACATCTCCCTTCATGAAGCTCTTTTAAATGGCATCTAACATTACTACATCAGCAGACAGTCCAGGGAATGGGACAGAATCTCAGAACAAGACTGACATGGCGAAGTTGCACTGGTCATGAACCCCAAAGGAAAAAGAAAGTAAAAAAGTAAAACGTAACATGGAGAAGAGAAGCCCTGCGGGACGTCCCAAGAAGAGGATTTTGCAATGTGGGATTATGTTCGTACACAAGAGCAGACGATTCATTTTCAAGTTGAATAAGGCTGTCAAGATCTGCTAACACCTCATTTAATATTTTGGTTAAACATAAAATTAGGCAATACCTACCTGGGACAAGCCTAAATGTACAGAAGCTGTCTCGGATATATACATGATTTTGCCATCAGATGCTACCACAAAAACAAATCCATCCAAAGTCTGTAAAAGAGAAAGTGTCAGGATGAGATGATAGTTCCACATTTGAGTTAAATCTAATAATTGTACTGTCACTGGGATGGAGGAATGTATAAAATATTATCAATGCATACTTGGTAAACACAAAAACAAAAACAAAATAAGGAAGCCCAGTGCCATAAGCAGGAATGTAGGTAACAACACTCAAGGTCTACTTCCCACGCCAACCTCTGAAATGCTTTTAAAGCACTTTAAAAACAATCATACGTACACATCACAAAAATCATGCAAAACATTTGAGAATTCCTACAATGCTCAGTTTAAATGTAGTAGCTTTATTGTTTGGGGTTATTTTAGCACTTAGCACAAATCCGGAGTTCTATGGTACTTAGGGGGAAATCTACCACTATATAGACCATTTTATGTCATAATTGGCAGTCATTTGTACCACTAGGACATATGCTTTATTTGCCACAATTTTCTAGTTACCTGTAAGTACCATTTGAATAATAAATTCCAAACACTACCATTCCCCAGAAAATAAAACAAAATACCTGGTTATTTTACCAGACTATGTCTACAGAATTAATTATTTAGAATTTGCAAGAGATCAAATAACCTTTGCAAAATTCAAGGAGAGAAAGTATCAACTTCTGAAAAATTAAAACGATGCAAATGAAATTCTGATTTTGCCTAAGTTGGCTAGCCCTCAGAAATAAAGTAAAATTATAAGAGGTAATTAAGACAAATAAAAAGGTAATGATTATATTTATGTGTCAGGGATAAAAAGACTAAATTATTTTTGAAAAAGGAAACTGCATTTTATTTACTCATTCATATTTTAGATCCAGAACCAAAGAAAAGCAATAAAGTTGGTGAAAGACTCATACAACCCACAATGCTGCCCCCATAAAAAATATTCCAAATTAATTTCTGGCCACAAATTCTATTTTTATGGCCTGTAATTGAAACCAGATTACCTTTGGTTTTTCTAAGCACCCCCTTTGGAGGGGGAGCTAAAACGAATGTAGTAGAAGTGAAACTTGAAAGCTGTCCTTACATTCTGCTGTCTCCAATACAGTTTGCTGCAAAAATTCCTTGCCAACTCAACCGTCTTTACCTTTCACTATGGCAAGGTTGAGATCAGCGTCTTCATTACAATAAGCCTTACTTTCAGGTTTCTAACTCCGCTGCAAAACATTTTCCCAACAAAGCCTGCAGCGTTTCAAAAATACAAAATATACAGCAATCTCCAAAGTTGTAAACTTCGGGGCACATTTTGCATGCTTGCTTAACTCCAAAATCATTACTAAAGAGATACAATGAATGAAATAGCATCCCGCAACCAGCTGTATCTAGGATAATGAATAAAAGAGAAAAATTATCATAATTAAATTTCGAAAGTTGCCAGCAGTAGCTGAAAAAATATTCTTCATGGAAAATGTAGGGTATGCCTTCACAGCTTCAAATTACCTAATTCGCTTCCACGTACAATAACTGCAGAGACGCCCGTCCACACACCACTCCGGAATTAATTAAAGAAATGTACCGTGGAGAAATGTGGGGGTGTTGACTTTGCCCGCCAGGTTTTCACTGAAGTTCCCCGGCACTTAGTTGTCCCTGATATTAGTGTCACTTACAATAAAGGAGGCGTCTGAAACGTGCACCGGAGCGGGCGCGAGCTGGGGCGGACGCCGAGAGCGGCGGGCGGCGGGCGGTGCTGCCCAGCGGTCGCTTTTACAACACGCTCCGGGTTTCAAAGGTTCCCCGGGCTCTGCTCTTTCCCCAGCACATGCAATTTTAAAAATAAATCGCGCCAGGGCATTTGGGGCAAAAGAGTTTTGAAAAGATCTGCTTTTTCGAAAAGCAGAGCTCGCGGCTGACTCGCTGACCTAAGTCACAGCGCCGGGCAGCCAACATTTTTTACCTTTTAAAGAAAACACAAAATAGGAGGGAGGAAACGCAAAGTAGCTCTCGGTAGGCATTTTTCGATGGCAGAGACAAATGACAGGCGGGGGGAATGAATCGAGTCGTTGATGAGGCTCTGTAAAGGGCATTTGAAAGATCCGGAATTTGTCCCCAGCTCGCGCCAGCCGCCGACCTGGAAGTGGCGGGTTGTGCGCAAGGCTACCCGGCCCCAACCGCAAAGCCCGACCGCTCCCGGCGCCCAGACGCTGCCAAGGAAAGCCGAGGTCAGGGGCAGCGTAGCAGCTGCCGGCTGAATGGCCCCGGACTGGGGTGCTAAGCAGCTGACCCCAAACCATGCACAGACTCCAAAGTAGGCGACCTGGGAGGCTTGCTTATCGACAACCGCTCTTGAGCCGGACTAATGGGTTAACCACGCTCCACCTCCTGCTGTGTGACCTCAGACATGTTACTTAACCTCTCTGTGCCTCAACTTCCTCCTCCTCCAAAAAAAAAAAAAAAAACTGGAGCTAAAATAGTGGGTGGGAGGCCGGGCAGGGTGGCTCATGCTTGTGATTCTAGCACTCCGGGAGGCCAAGGCGGGAGGATCGCTTGAGTTTAGGAGTTCGAGAACAGCCCGAGCAAGAGCGAGACCCCGTCTCTACAAAAAAATAGAAAATTAGCCCTGCTTGGTGGTGCGAGCTTGTGGTCCCAGCTACTCCAGAGGCTGAGGGAGGAGGATCGCTTAAGCCCAGAAGTTTGAGGTTGCAGTGAACTATGATGACGTCTCGGCACTTTAGCAGAGGTGACAGTGAGACTCAGTCTCAAAATTAAAAAAAAAAATAGTGGGTGGGGAAGTGAGATGATACAATTAGATTCTGAACAGAATCTGCCCTGTAACAAACTCTCAACAAGTGCCAATTGTTAGTATTCTATCATCGATGCTGTCTCTCCGTCATTGCGATCCCTGCAAACACACAGCTGCCAAATGCTCTAGAGCTGCAGCACTCTGGCTCGGAGGTCCGGATCACTCCTTCTGCTGCTGCGGCTGGTGGCGCGTCGTCGGGCCCAGAGCGAGCGCTCGCTGGATCGAAGTTGCTGAGCGAAGCAAGGTCGTCCGAAAGGACTTTACCTCGCCCAGAGGCGCTGTCGGCGTAGGCTTCCGGAGGGCTAGAGAGTCCTGGGGCATTGCGGGGGGGAAATGCAGGGTGGCCCGAGGCTGCACCCGACGTGCTAAGCGTCCACACCTGGGACCTGCCCTTCCGGGGGCCACCCCCCACCCCGGGCGCCTTCTGCAGCGTGGGGGCAGCCTATGGGTCTGCCCAGCGCTCCTGCCCTCGCCCGGCGGCTCTACCTGCAGCAAGTGCGATCCCAGCTCCTTGGCAACGCTGTCCAGGGGCCCGGCGCGGCTCGGCTGTCCCCACGCCTCTCCTAAACCTGCACGGTGGAATAAAGCGAACCAGTTAACGGCAGTGCCCAGCCCGAGGCCGGGCTCCCGAGCAGGGCGCACAGCACCTCCGCTCCCCGCCGCTCCCTGCCCGCGATTGCGGAGCGCCCCCACCGCCTCCCGGGCCCAGCAGGCCGCCAGCTGTGCCCCAGCCAGCGCCCCTTCGCCCTCGGCAGAAACGGAAAAGGCCGGAGGAGAAATTCCCGCCGAGGCGGCCACCCCAAGCTCCCCTGCGCGCGCTGAGCCCGCCGGGCCCACTGCGCCCGCGGGTCGCCCACGTGCTCATGGCCCTGAAATTGCCGTTTTATTTGAAATGCCACAAAGTAATCTAATCTGCTTTGAAACCGCCATCCTCGTAGCCAAACGGGGATATCGATTGGACCCGTAAATATTCCCCCAAGGACCCCCTCCCTCCTTTCTTTCCCTGTGTCGGCGGCAACTCTTCGTTTTCCCGAAGGCAGAGGGGCCCAGACCGACGACCCCGCCATCCAGGACGCAGCTTTTCCAGCATAAAAATGACCCCCTCCTCCGCCCCACATCATCCCTTCGGACTCCGCAGCCTCCACGGCTCCCGGGAGCGCCGTCAGCTTTCCATGCGGAGAGCTCTGCCTGGGCAGGGTTTACCTGGAGGTTTCCCGCGGGCACACTCTAAATCTGGAAGCGGTGGGGCGAGGGCTGGGCCACCGGCGGTAGTCCGTTGGCGCATAATCGGCGCTTCTTAACTGGGTCCCCCAAGGCCTGCTGCCCTTTCCTCACCACCTCCCGGTAGCCACCAGTGTTGCAGAAATGCACCGGGGGAAAGAGGGCCCTGCCCGTGAGAGCTCCCTTCTCTCTGAGCCCTCGGCCCGGCTGCTGTGCCCGGAGACTCCCCGCTTTCCTCTGCACATTCGGGAGGGAAAGCAGGAAAGTCGGGCGAGCTTGCGGCGCTGAGCGCGGCAGGGAAAACTCCCACACCTCCCTGGAATCTTTCCGCCGAGGGCCTGGCCGGCAGACCCTCGGTCAGCGCTGCGGTCCCGCCGGAGGTGGCAAAGGCCCGCAACCGCGATCTCGGCCTCCGCGCCAACCTCCCCGGCGGAGAGACGCCTGCAGGCTCGCAGTCCACTTCCGCAGCGCCCAGCCCCGGCTGCGACCCTGCCGGGCGGGCTGTGTGCGCCGCGGGCCCAGCCTGCGTGTAGAGTGCCAGGCCACGCGGCAGAGCGGGACGTGCGGGGGCGGGGAACTGGCCAGCGGCCGCGATCCTGGGGACCGTTCCTAGGGCCGCAAAGCCCCTCCAAGTGGGCAGCGCAGAGTGGCTTCCCGGGAAGTCGCCGCGCCGTCACTCTAGGCACCCTGGGTCTTCCCGCTGCCGCCAGTGAGCACGTGGGGCATCGCGGCTTCTGGGTGCCTCGACCTCAGGAGGCGCAAAACACACCTTGGGTCCCAGGGCAGAGGCGTTGGAGAACTTTCCCCAGAAAGTGTTCAGCAGCTAAAAAAGGGATGACCTTTAATTTCTCCTCCTGGGCTCTAGGAATTAGGGGCTTATCCTGGTATCCCCATAAGGAAGTGCCTAATTCACACATATCCCTGATCCTCCACATACGATCGCGGCTCGTTATCCATGCCCCCCCAGCCTCCACCACGTGAGCGGAGGTGTCTCTTTAACCCCAGGAAATCACTCCAGCCCCCAAGCGTCACCACCGTGATCACAGCAGCAGCGCGCCATTTGCTCTCGCGTGCCGCTCCTTCTGCCCGGCACCCAGGCCGGGGGCCACCTGGCGGTGTTTACCCCAATTTAACCAGCAATGGAAAGAACCAAAATTTAAAAGTTCGGGGGTTTGGGCGAAGTAAGTATTTAATAAGGACCCAGGAATTCTGATTTCCAAAAATGGACAAATGCTCCCTGGAAACGGTCCTTCTCTTTCCTGCCCCTGGGTCCTTCCCTGAGTTTGGGCCATCCCTGGAGGGTAGACCCTCCCCGGCCACTGCCTGGGGAAGGTGAGCACATCCTCCCAGCCTTGGCTGCTTGGAGTCAGTGGCTGATTGATTGGCGGGGGGAACCTGTGCCTTTGGGAATGACCCCCAAACCAGACTCCCCTGCCAGGCTCTCCCAAAAAGCCTTGTCAAAGGCCCTGGCTCTACAAGCAAAAGTCACAATTTTCTCTGTAATTCAAATACCATATATTTCAAGAGAGCTTGTTCTCCTATATCATAATTTCTTCTGTAATTTCCCAACACCGCCACTTTGCCAGCAGAGATTTGATGCAAATGCCCCTTTCCAAAGAGGTGGCTGAGAAAGCGACGCTGTTCCCCACAAGAGCCCCCGCCTCCAGGCCACCTCACCCTGGGGCGGTGGTGCTGCCAGCTCTTCCATTAGAAACCAGTGCGGGCGAGGTCTTCTCACTCAGATCATAAAAATCTACTTTGCGCTGAACACAGAGACTAAATAAAGGAAGGTGTGTAACGAAAAAAATTGTCTGGGTACTGCAAAGCGATATAGACACCCAAAAAAGTGAGGTGGTGGGCATGTGCCCCTTATCTGGACCTAACAAGGAGATTTATTTCAAAAATGATGGGGTGGGGAAGATTGGGCTAAGCTCCTCTGCGGTTGGCAGTCTTGGTGGTGGGAGCCCCCAGCACTGACTGCTCCTGCCAGGGCAGTGAGGGGTCCCAAGCCCAGCCTGTGATTTCTGATTTTGGGTGGGTTCCCCTGCACCCTGTGTGCCTTGCAGGACCCGCAAGGTGGGGGGTTGTGGTACTTCAAGCTGGGGATGGCCAGGTTGCTGGGAGCCTCCAGGGAGAAACAGAGGCTAGGTAGGGGTGGGGCCAGGAGTCAAGCCCAATTTTGCCAGTCAGCCTCCTGGTACCTGGTTCCCCGCTGGGTCTCCCAGCATGTGTGGATGTGTGCATGCTGTACCCATGCTCTGCTGGCTGTGGCTGTGAGTCTGAACTCCACCAGATCCTCCTACCACAGACGCTGCCTAAATGTGGTCCCTCCTCTCTGGGCACTGGCCCTGGGGGTACCTCCAGATGCAGGTCACAGACCATACACATGGGACGACACAAATAAGATGATTTGGGGTAGAAGGGGAGATGGTTCTGGCACTATGAGGCTGGCCACCCTTCTCAGATGAGGGGATATTCGAGTTGAGACCTAAAGAAGGCACCTAAGGAGGCAGCCAGCTTGCTCCTTCCTCTGGACGGTGGCGGTGACAGACCCTCCAACCCCGAAGCTGGGACCAGGACTTTGGTAGGAATACCTAGGTTAGTACCATTCTCTCATTTCCCCTTGGGGCAATCTACAAGTATCTAAAAAACGGTGACAAAAAGACTCCTTCAGTGGGATCTTATGAAAATCTAATGGGGTTAGTAACAGGGAGGCGCCTGCCCCCACCCCTCCAGGAAAATTGGATCTTCGAGTGTGAAAATCCAGGACCTGCAGCTGCGGAGACCGCATCCTGACACAGGGGTCTCACCTCCACCCGCCTCCCCCTCCCCATCTTGCCCAGTCTCCAGGGTCTGACCTCCAGCAGTGCCCCGACCTCTAACCTTTATTTCTCACCTCGAAAATGGGATTGCTGTGGGATTAAATGAGCGGAGCCCAGCCTGAGGCCTCAGCGTTTGCGACAGCTCCCACCACTTTGTCCCATCCCCTCTTGCCGTCCCTCTCCTTCCCTGCCTCCAGCCTCCCCTCCCCGGATTATGTCCCCTCGTGGGGGTGGGGCTGGGGGAGCAGAAGGGGTGTGTCTCTGGGGACCGCCACTTCGGCCCTGGGAGCGGGAGCGCTCAAGGTCACTGCTGCAGACTGCAAACCACTCCAAGTCAGGAAGGGTCTGTGTCGGGGTTGGGGGGAGGCGGGGGTAAGGAAGGCCGCGCCGCCCGCTCCCTCCTCACCCATGCAGGGCGCGGGACTCCCGCGCCTGCTGCGGAGGCGGCGTCTAAAGTCACCCGGGTGGGCGTTTACAACCCGGAATCCAAAGGAGCAAGATCACCTGCGGGGGCCGCGGGCTTGGGTGGCTCCCTGGGGGACGGGCGCTGCCGCGAACCTGGGCAAGGGTGTAATGGGGGAGTTTGGGGCCAGGTCCCCTTCTTGCTGCTCTAGGGGAGCCCACAGCTTGCGCCTCTAACAGGCTCTTTTCTCCACACCAGGACCCCAGTAAAACCCCAGTAAATTGTCGCGATTGGGGGGCTCCTCTGAGCGTTTCAGTCCTTTCTGGGGCATCGGAATCCTCCCGTTCTCTCTCGGGTCCCTGAAAAGTCCGCCTCTTGAGCCTTTTTCCAAACCAACCCGCTGGTGTTCAGGGGATGGTAGGTAGGGACGCCCCAAGGAGGCCTATATAAGCCCGATGGCTTCCAGCCTGGCCGGGCGCGTCGCCGGGCGGGTGTCGTGCCTGCTCTGACAACTGCTAGAAGGCCCCTGCGCCCCAGTACCGCCTGCCTGGACCTTCCCGGAGCTGCCCTGAGGAGGGGCCGCCGAGAGCCGCCCAGCGCCGCCCTACAGAGGCCCCTTTCCGCGCCTGGAGCTCCGGGGCTTGGCTCCTTCACTGGCCCCTCAAAGGCCAAGGCCCAGTGCCCTGGGCGTCCCCTTCGCCACCTTCCCGAGCGTGAGCGGAGCTGCAGCCTGGCGGGCTTGGGGAGAGCGTTGTAAACATCTACATTGTTCTAAAACAAAGTCCGTTTTTAAAAATCTATATTATATCCGGGAGCGGTAGAGAAAGGTCTCAGAAATCTGACCCCATGTCGGTGTAGGACAAGTTTCTCCTTGCCAAACCCTCCAAATCAAATCGTTTCGATTCCAGGAAACAATTCCTAGGACCCGGCGCAGCCGGCTCCTCCAGCAGCGCACAAGAAAGTGTGTGTGGTGCCTGCAGCTGAATTCAAACCCAAAGGCATCGACCATTGGAATAACTCAGGCCTTGAATCCCACGTCTTTGTGTGTGTGGATGACGTTTTCTTATGTAGCAACACCTTCTCCACACCTGTCTTGGGACTTTCAGGTCTGAGAAAGGGGGAGGAGGGAGAGTCAGACTCTGTTTCCAACCCCAGGACCTGAGGCCAGTACCTCATGCCAGCCGTCAGTGTGCAAGGTCCCAGAGGAGACTCCACCCCTTGCCCCACTACCAGAACATGAATCCGGACCCCTTGAGAGGAGCAGAGCCCTTGAGGTGGGTGGTGGCACTGCTGCAGCTCTGAGTTGGGCCACTGGAAGCCCAGTGTCATCCCTCAGATGGGCAGAAACTACCCTGTGTTCTACTGCTTGTGGTCCCTGAGCAGCCATGGCCAAGAAGCAACCAGAACTCGCCTGTTGTGGTCTTTGGTAATTTCCAAAGCGTCCCCTCTCTGGAAGGGAGAGCCACACGCGGAGAGGAGGGCAAGCTGCCCATTGGCCCGAGCGCTGTCCCAGGCCCTAAAACTTACTGAGTTTTCAATTTGAAGCCCAAGTTCTAAAGCCAGCCTTCCTCTCCTGTCCTCCTCCCTGCCCCATCTACCTACCTTCCACTTCTTAGCTCACTGTTGAAGGGGAGAAAAGTTAGGGATGCAGAAAGCAGGGGATCTTCAGACTCCAGGCAGGGGGCAGGGGGCAGGGAATCAGGCCCCCCATCATTTAAGCCATATTTGGTCCAGGAAACACCCGTATCTCACAGGAAGGAGGGAGCGAAGTAAGAACAACACTTAGATATCTACCTACACAGCACAGTTCTGCTTGTGCATTCCCACACTTTATCAGAGCAATCATGTTCAGGTGCCACCCTTTGCTAATGGACCCATTTTACAGACAAGAAAACCAAGGCCCAAAGGTGCAGCATGACAATAGAGCTTCAAAACCTGGCTGTACAAATTGAAAGTATCCCGATCCCTCGGACGGGCCACCGGGTCAGGGAGTTTACATTGGTTCTGGTCGCCTCCCTCTGCCCCACCCCTCTGAGCTCCTTTTTCTGCCTTTCCACCCAAGAAAATCTGGGGTAAAGGAGCAGAGGTTGGCAGCCTTGCCAGCACAGCGGGATAACAGGCTGCCCACCGCCAGCCATGGCAGAGACTGGCCTGCTCTTGCCCTTGCCGTGGGACCTTGGAAAGGTCTGTGCCCTCTCTGGCCCCAGTTTCTCCAAGTACAAAGGTAGTCTAGGGATTCCTGTGGTTCCTCAAGACTATGCTATTCATTTTTTTCTGACTCCCAGAGTCCTAAGTTGGTCTCTGTTCTTCTTTACCCAGGGCTCCCACTTGCTCCGGGGCAAGACCACCCTTGGCAGATTGATACCTCTGGATATTTTTTCTATTTTCAGTCTTAAGCCCGGGCAATCTGAAAGCTTGCTGCCCTGGATCACCCAGGCCCTGAAACCTCCCTAGAGCCACCACTCTGACTCTAGCTCAGCCAGGCCCCATTCTGACCCAAACCCATATCCTTTCTTGCAGACCTGGGTTCCCTAAGAAGATGTTAAATCAATTAAGATGCCACTTGTATGCTCCCACCCTTCAGAGCTACCCAGAGGAGTGACCAATTTGCACAAATGGACTCAGTTTGCACAATGGAGGTCTTTCTAAATGCACCTTCTCTCTCTGTCCCAGGCTCCCAGCTTCACAACTCCTCAGCCCCAGACTGACTTGACAAAATGATATTGCTGTCCAGAGCCGCAGGGCCGAGGCCCCTGAGAAGTCCCAAGGCTGTGAGGCCACCCTGCCATGTCTGCCCCTACTCTGGACACTGCAGAAACGAGGAAGGAAGGGATTAGGCCACTTCCCCATTCCCTTCCTGAGCAGACCCTGCAGGTTCAGGGCCATTTCCAAAACTCTAGGGCGAAACAGTTCCCTTCTGATCCCTTCCAGAGTGACAACTTCCAGGGTCACCCCCTCCCCCATAAGATGCCCAGGTGGCCTCTCAACTGCTCCCAAAATGGCTTTGGTGCCAGTTTCTCAAGGCAGGACACCCAGTAGGTCCACCCCGCACAAGGGCTCAGAGCCCTGCCATTCTGGGCCCAAAATCCCTGGAGACTTGCTTCCCAGAGCTGGAACACACGGACCCAGTGCACAGACCCAGTTTAAACATGGGCTGAGCAGTACGCCCCCCACTGCCCAATGGTTAGCAGACTCTCCCGGAAATCCCCGGAACAGCGAATGGCTTACAATTAGCCCTCTTTTCTCAGACCTCTCCTCTTAACTAATTTCTGGTTTATTTGAAATCATTGGCGACACGTTATTTAATGTTCTGATCGGTTCATAGAACGTGTTTTATTTCCAATGCGGGAGGGAGAGAGGAGGAGGAGGGATGAGGAGGATAGGAAGCCTGCCCCCTGCTCGAGTTCCACACCTGTTTTGTAGCATGCGGTTAAGAGGCTCATCCCAGAAAACCAGTAACCGCCACTCCTCCCCGGGTGGGACGGAGACTCAGCCCTTATATACTAAAACCTAATTCTAATTTCCACTGACACTTACGCCGGCCAGAAATCTTTCTTACTTCTCCGGCTTTGGGCAGACTGGTAGCAACCACTGGGGCTCCCAGCGGGAGGGGCCGGGGCAGGGGCGTCTTTGCGGATCCGAAAAGGAAAGGGGAGGAACGTGCACTGGGCTCAAGGCGGGCGAGTCAAGGGCTGCAGCGCCTGGGGGTAGAGCGCCCGCGGCCGCGCGGCCAGGCTGTGAGGCTCTGGAGAGGCCCAGCGGCTGCTTTGGGCCCCATCGGCTCCCCAGTGCGCCCGGGTCATCCGGCGCTCGGCTCCCCGGCCCGCTGGCCGCAACACTGGAGGCCGCGCTTGCGGACCGGCCTCGCAGACCGCTTGCTGAAGTGTCGCTCCACACCCAGAGGCGAGAGCAAATAACAGGCTTGGGCAGCAGCGAACGCAAAAGGTCGAGCTTTCCAATTTCCAGTCGAGCGCCTAGCCCGGGACCGCGTTAATGGAGACGCCCTGCGGCCTAGGGACACCTGTCGCCTGCACTGCAGCGACCCTCCGGCGGCCTGCGGCTGTCTCCCTACCTCGGCGCTGGCTCCCGGGGCTCCAGAAGCCGGCACAGCCCTCTCGGCTCTTGGGCCGCCCTTCAGGCCCCTGAGCAGCGTACCTCCCAGCAAAGTATCAGAATCTCTCGGCCACGTAACCCTGGCCGCGGGCAGAGACGCTGCAAGGCGCTCGGCTCAAAACCCCTGAGGATGCCAAAAACAAACGCTGTGGTGACCAGGCTTTCCGGACAACTGCTGCTAAGAGGTGCCTGGCGAGGGGGCCACAGTCCCCAGCGGCAGCCAGCCTGTGCGGGCTGGGAGAAGCCGCCCAGAGCGCCACCATTTCCAACTCTCCCGAGTCTACAGACCCGCGGGTCTCAGCGACCCTTGCCAACCTGGCACTTTTTCAATCCTAAAAAGAACGGCTGCACTGAGGCCTGTTTGCCATTTTCGAACTAATCGCCTCCCTCTTCCCGCCGCATCTCAGTTCACCCCGTGGTCTCTCCTACCCTGGCCGCGGGTGCCCCAGCCCCAAGAGAGGCTGGCGGAGAAGATGCCGGCGGGGAGACCCAAATCTGAGGCCCCGGCTCCCCAAAAGTGCTCGCTTGGAGGCTTCGGCCTGCAGTGCCTGGGCCTCTCCATGCACCCCCATTGCTGCAGCATATGGAACAGCCAGCGCCTTGCACCTCCTCCAGGAAGAGGGAGGGGGGAATGAAGGAAAAATAAAAAGAGAGTAGAAGAAAAGAAGGAAGGGGAAAGACAGAAAATAAAACAAAACCAGAATGGACTGGAAAACAAAAAAAAAAAAGAAAAAGGGAGAGTAAGAGAGAAAAACAAAGAAAGAAAAAAAAGAAAAAGAAAGAAAAAAGAATGGATTGGGGAAGGAAGGAAGGAAGGGAGGAAGGAAGGAAAGAAGGAAACCAGAAAGGACTGGATGCCTTCGTCCGCCTGCCTCTGGAACAATTCTTGGTTCGCTCCTGCCCAGCCCTGAGCCAGAAGATGGTTTGGTCGCTTGGGCCACCACGGCCCTGGCCCTTTCTCGCAGTGGAAGCGGAAGCCGAAGCCCCCGGCGCGGTCTCCCCAAGACGCCCTAGCACTGGCCGGGAGGCCCCTCCGGGCGGGCTCCGGCTTCCCGCCTGGACGGGGGCCGCCAGGCTCCCCAGCGTTCCCGGCCGCCCACCTGCGGCCTCACCTTCGGGGAAGACGGCGCGCATCTTCAGATAACTCGTGGTCAGTCGGATGATGGACGCTTTGTCCAGCTGCGAAGTGATGGCCGACGGCAGCGGGAGCAGCTTGGCCAGCTCGTAAAACTCGCCATTTTCCTTCTCCCTCCTGGTCTTGGCCGCATTCTTGGACTTCTCCTTCATCGCGCCTCGGCTCCGGGCATATTAGACCCGGCAGTGCTCCAGGCCCGCGCAGCCCGGCTCGGGCGCGGCGGCGGTGGGGAAGGGGGCGCCGGAGCCAGGTGAGTCCGGAGCGCCGGCCGCGGGCAGGTGCGCGGGGCCGGCCAGGGACACCGAGACGCGTCTCCGCAGCCGCCAGCCCGGAGTTCGGCGCAACCCAGGGGCTCCGCCCGCTGCGGCCCGGGGCGCAGCCTTCTCCGGGCTGGACGGTCCCGCGGCAACTGGAGCCCTGCTTCCTGCTCGCTCCGGCTCGCTCTTGCTTCCTCCCTCCTGTCTCTCCCGCCTCGGCTTTCCTTAGGGTGCTGGGGGTGGCCCGCGAGGAGGCGGCGGTGCTGTTCAGTCCTTAACCAAGTGTTTGCACCCGCTGCCGCGAGGCCCCTCCGGACTGGAGGGCGGCTTGGGCGGCGGCGGCCGCGGAGCCATGGGGCGGGAACCGAGCGGAGCGGAGCGGGGCGGAGGCGGCTGGGGCCGGGCCCGGGCCCGGGCGCGCTCTCCTGCCCTTCCTGGTCGCTCCCTGTACCTGGAGTCGCGGCGCCCGGAGCCGGCGATCTGTGGCGAGGCGCAGCAGCTCCGCGGTCCACGTGCGACGGAGCCGCGTTTGTTTATGGCGGACCCGCCTTCGGGCGGAGCACTGGGCCGCCCGCGCCGCGGAGGGGGGGCGGCGGGGGGAGGGACCGCGGCGGGGGCGGGGGCGGCGAATCTCGCCTCCGACCCCGCCACGGCCCCGGAGTCACAGGCGCGCCTCCGTGTCGCTGCCTCCAGGGACCCTCCCGGGAGAGACTCGCGCGTTCCCGGGCTCGGGGAGGTCGCAGTGAGTGCACTCGGGGCGACGCGGGGACTCACCCCTTAGAGTTGGGCGCTAGGGTGGGCGGCGGGGAGCAGGGAGGGAGGGAGTTGTGCGAGGCCTCCCCTGTGGTTCCCCGGCGGGTCGCCGGCGAGTGTGGCCGAGGAGGCGTAGCGACCCGCGGGCCTAGTGCCCGGCCCGGGAGCACCTAGCCCTCCGAGCCTGCGCTGGCCCCGCGCCCTCCTCCTGCCCACGTCGCAGGTCTGCGAGCCGGAAGGAGGGAGGCCAGGGACTCCCCCCGCCCGCCTACACACAAGAAAGCGGCGTGAGCGGCTCCGAAGTGACCCTTCTGCCCTTTCTCTCTTGGAAACACGAGGGCGAAGGGAGATTGTCGCCTTCTCTGGAGGAGCGGGAGGCCGCGGGGTCTCAAGGGCCGGAGGGAGGGAAGCGGCTGGGGAGCCGAACCCCAGCGTGGCCTCTCCCAGGGCGCTGGCAGGAACAGGGCCCAACTGCCGAGGGCGGCCGAGCAGCCCGATCCGGCGCAGCCAGAATTTCGGGGAATAGCCGTTGGGCTGGCGCTTCAGAGCGAAGGTCGCCGAACCAGGGTCACTGGGCAGGCATTGGTGGAGACCATGGTGATGGGGCTGAGGCAGTTGGAGGAGGGAGGCGCAGTTGGAGACACGGCCACCGGGCATCCCAGCGCTCTCCTTCTGGGCCACGTTGGCTCTAAAGAGTCCTTTTGTCCCGCCTCCCTCCTCCCCTGTCCCGCTCCTGCAACCCAGAGCCTGGTATGAGGCCCAGGATCCTCCGCACACCCCCTCGGTGGCGCTCGCAAAAACTTCCACCCCTTCCAGTACTCTGAACCCTCCGTCGAGGTGCGGACGTCAGTTTCCTGGGAGCCCCCAAGTCAGGGACAGACGCAGAGGACTCAAGACAGTCCCTTTTGGGCGTCGAGATCCAGCGCGGACTTGGCCGGCCGTGTGCCGCAGGTTGTAAAGCGGTGGGTCTGTGGGGCGCCTGACGCGGAGGTCAGCACCAGGCGGAAAGGACACCGGTGTCTGGGGTTGGGCGCAGAGATTTTGGTTCTTGGTGCCACTGCTCTCTCCCCTGCCCCGGGATGATGAGCCTGCTGCTCCGGAGACCTCACAGTCCGACAATAACAGGGTTCTCGCTTCCCTGCCTCATACCAGGAAGGCCCAGCTTTCGACAACCGTGCCTGTAGCAGGCGCATGTGACATTTTCCAGGGACCCTTTTGAAGGTCAAAAGTTCTTAGGGGTTCAAGGCGGTGTAGGCTCCCTCCACCGGCTGGACAGTGTGCGCAAACCGGGCTTGGCCTCCGCCTGCCCCTAGCGCCCTGCCCAACCCACACCGTGGCCAAGGCGCGCAGGGCCGATGCTCCAAAACCGCGATGCGGCGCGAGCCGGGAGCACAGAGGAACCGCAGTTTCCACTGGGGCTTCAGATCCCGGAGCGCTTTCCAGTTTCCAGCGGTGCGTGCAGAGGGCGGTGCGCAAGAACACCGGTATGCAGTGCCCAAGCCTGGCGCGTCAGGTCCGCTTCCGCGCCCAGAATCCCGCACCCGGCTGCGCTGACAGTTGTCGGCTTGGGGCCTCTGGGAGAAGGGACGCCAAGGGAGCCGGGCCGAGTACCGGCCCGGCCGCAGCTTCCGCGGGTGGGCCCCCCTGAGTGCGCTCTGGCACCTCCCTGGCTTCGGGAGGATTTAACGCTTCTCTTACCCTCGTGATTTCCAACCCTCAATTATGGACCCCGGAGAATTCCTTCCGGGCTTGAAAGGGATTACCCAGATCGCAGAAACATGGCTAAGTGGAAGTGGGAGAGACCCCACAAGTAACACGAACGGAAACTGTCCTCAAGCCAAATTTCCCGTATTTTACCCGAAAGCGCTCTTGTCTTCACGATGACAGCCGCTGTTCACGCATCTGCAAAACAGGTTCGAATCGTGTGCTTTGAGAGGTAGCTTGACCGAGTGTTTGAAGACCCGAGGGTATGTGGGTGTGAGATACTTCCAGGCCCAAAGCCTGCCCAGCAGGCGCCCAAGCGGGCACTGTATTCCCCAGCCCCAAGCACGTTCTTTCACAACACGCTGGCTATGAGCTTGGGGTACCCGACAGCGCCACCGAAAGTACCAAAAGTACTTGGGCGTGGATCTTAAGGTCTCCCAGGTAAGAAGGACAGTGATCGTCTAGGTGGACTAGTGAAGGAAGAACCCCTGCTCCTGGTTGGGGCCGTCCCAGGGCTCTACCTACTAGAGGGAGAGTCTGAGGCCCTCAGAAAAGGACACTTAGGAGGAATACCCACAGGCTCTATGTGGGACAGGCAGAAGCTCTGTTTAAACTGGAAAAGTACTGAACAAGTGCTAATTGGAGTGATCAGGAACATCAGCGGTGACCGCAGGTTGGGACACCTGCTACGTGTCTCTCGCTCCTGGCGCGGGAAGAAATTCCTGGTCCGTGCACTGGGCCCAAAGCCAAACCCCTAGCTGAGTACCCAGCCCAGCCCCGCGGGCCCCAGGGGAGAGTGGACGAACCTCCGAATCGGAGGAATCATCCAGAAACAGCAGTTCACTTACTGGCCCAGAAGAAGCCTGCAGAATCCGGAATGAATGGACATTGGGGGCAGGAAGAGGGCGGGTGGAAAGAGGGGTCGGCCACATTGAGGTCGCGCGCTTTGGAGTGCCCCTGGCTTGCAGGGCGTCCCCACCCCCAGTCTGCCCTGCTGCGCGCGTGCAAGTACGTCTCCGCGTACCCCACCCTCTTAGAAATTTTCCATTAGGAAACTTATCTGGAAGAAATTCAGGCCCCTAGAGGAAAGGGGCGGGCCGGGACCACCTCACATCTGCTTGGATTTTCCGCCTCAGATGCTGCGCAACTGTTTTTCCCCAGGCCGCGTGCCCGCGCCTACCTGAGATCCATCCCCAGCGGAAACCGACTTTCACGTGAGATCAAAGGGAGAACCCGTAGAGGTTCGAGGCGGGATGGGCTCCCGGAGAAGCTGCTGCGCTGGCAGCAGGAGATCAGAGACCTTGTCACTAAGGTGGGGGGAAGGGAGGGGGAAGGATTTCGAACCCCTGAAGTGGGGTTTAAGGAGAACTTCAACCTCCCAAACAAGCAAAGGCAACCGAAAATCCAGGACCGCAGAGATTTAGAATCCCTTGTCTACACTGGCAATTATTACGACACGGTTACTGCAGAAAACCACGCTTGCCGCCAGCATCACATGTATGACCAGTGCATGGCCGGGAAGCTTTTTTGGTCTGAGCTATCTGAAAGAGTACCTCGAGTTTCACTCCTTTCCTGGTTTAAGCCTCTTAGAGACCTCACCAACTTTCCTTGGGGTCATCGCTGCTCCTGTAAAGGACCAAAGGATAATTACAATATTTCTACTCATTGTTTTAAAATAATTACCGGTATGCAGAGCAAGTTTGTACTAATTTATTCCTCAGGAGGTCAGGACATTCTCTCTGCTCGCTCATTCCCAAGTAGTAGGGAGAAGTTTATTTCTCTTGTTTGTTTTAAATAAATTGTTCCACTGGAAGTTACTCCTTTGTAAAGCGTTTGCTTTTAGGTTGGTGAGCATATTTGATTACATCGCTTAAACCTGGGTAGATCCGCCTTCCTGCACTGGGTCCAGGACCCCATTGCTCTAGAGCCTCTGGCCCTCAGCCTGGGGGGACCGGGTTGCAGCTCTGTCTCCCCCAGGAGAGGAGGGAGGGGGAAGGAGGAATCCCAGTGGCATGGGTGACCTTGAAGCGGACATCTCTGGTCCTTCTCCTTGGACTTGATAGTCCAGGACGACTTTGGGTTCGGGGATTGGGGGCTCCAGGGGGCGGGCCAGGAAGTGTCCCTTGTCGGAGGATTTGAGTAGCCGCTGCCTACTACTCTGCCTCCCTCAAGGCGATCCATTTAGGGGCGCAGAAATTGTCTCTGGTAATTACAATGAGTAGCAAAGTCCTCGAGGGAGGGCCGTGGGGCAGGACAAAGCTGCCCCTGGTTTGGGCAAACCTGGGAGTTTGCAGTGAGCTCTTTCCTCTGCATTTTCTTTCTCTGTCTCCTCTTTCTCTCCGGTCTCTGAGAAGGTCCTGGTGCACCCTGACATCCAGTGACCTCCGGTGAGGCCAGGGACCCCTCTGGAGCGCAGGCCACTACTGGCGCCAAAGAAGAGCTGGGCCAGGGATTCTGGGCCCAAGGAGAGAGGAGCTGAGTGTCCTGCACCCACTCCTGCGACCCGCAGTTAAACATTGAGCTCTTGGCTCAGCTTAACAGAAATGTCGCCTAAAAATCCCTGGTAGGAGGAGTGAGGCAGCCCATCTGCTCCCCAGCAAAGCCCTCCTTTCGTTTAGAAACGATGCCCACATCTTCCAGGGAGCCCAGGATGGTGTCTGGAAGCTCCTGAGCTGGAGGAGTCTTAGTCTGGTGTGCACTGAAATTCCTCAGTGGTTACATCAATTACACCCTGCCTTTAAATCTGAAAACCGATTAGTTCATTAGTGACCTCGCTGAAACAGCCCTTCAAAAACATCAACCCCCCCCCCAAAAAATCTTTTAAGAAACAAAACCAAACCTATCCACCTGAGATAACTATTTCTGCATATCAAAGGGAACACTAACATGATGGGCTTAATTTTTTTCTAGCTCCTAATAATTGTAATAGCCAACCCTTAATAAAGAGCTGACCATAATATAGGGCTGTTATAGTACTTTAAAGACACAAACTCGTTATGTTTAAATAATACAGAGGGTCTGTTTGTAAAGCAAAGCTAACCGTGGGGCATCTGCTCCCTA